ATAATTTTCCACCCTATGTGTTCAGAAATTTTTGAACCAATACTACAAACACAGAAGGATAAAAGTTGTCCCGCGCAAAACAGTTTTTGCTATGTTGTACATTTGTAAGACGGAGACAATACATACGGGCGTGACATTAATAATTTAATTTAAAAATTAAATTAAAAATACTGTTTATACCAAAAGCTGTTGTATAGTTAAGGTTAATTACAATAGGTAGTCAGTTATTTGTGTCATACCCTATAAAGTATAATCATATATAAAACGGTAGAAAGCGAATTTGGCTACATATCTAAATGGAATACCTACAGATTTACAAATACACACAACAATTACAACAAATAATACACATTCGTACATACTCGTATATATGTAGGTACCTACTCTTAATAATAGTAAGTGGTTCAACGACCCGGTCATGTTATACGATTATATTATACTTACTTATAACATTCTATATTATACTATTAAAAGTATAACGAGCGCGAGGGAAAAAGAAACCATAGTGATTGTAGAGTACCTTGGCCAACGATCTAGATCAGCTGCGGATCATATTATCGAACTGCCACCTACTCTAATAATACATAACACAAAATATATACGTAATGATATTATATTGATATAAATAATAAAAAAAATATTAATCAAATGTATGTCTACATCGTGCAACTTAAAATGTATATCATAATATTAATACAACATAAAGCGTAAGGCGATTAGCGAACGGGAAATGCCGCCTTTTACCGCCTCAGGTGAAACCAGCCTCCGAAACCGCCGCCGCACCGTCGCCGTACATTCATTCATCCCGGATTATAAAATACATTACGACACTGTTAATCATTATTTTTTTTTCTTATCCGTCCCTCGCTGCAGAAAGATCGAGACGGCGACCGCACACAGTTTCCAAATATTATTCGTCTTATTCGTTCTTTGCAAAACGCACGTTCATTATTGATTATTATTAAATACCATTGTACCGCCGGTTTCGAGCACCGAAATCGTTGTAAAATACATTGCGGTTTTGTAGAAAATATAAGTACTACCGGCTTAAACATTATGTATAGGTACCTATCTGGCGCTTTGTTATAATACAGCAGGTACTGTTCTGGAAAAATACATTGCGATATTTAATGTGTAACGTATACAAGTTATTGTCTTTCTTAAGATTACTTACAATTGAATTCCGATAAATTTCTAAAATTGTTTTCATCAGAAGTATAATTGTCAGACGTATCATCAGGACGTAGTCCCGCCGACTATATTGTTGGCAAACGAACGATAAACATGTTGTCACAGATTGGCTATACCTAACCTTATAATAATTAACTGGTTTTAGAATAATCATAGAGGTGAAACACCTTTTATGAAAATGTATTATAAGTGGAGCGATGAGTACACTTTAAATGGTATGTACCTATTCACATTCTCCGTATAGTTTGAACTCTTAAATCGCACCAGAGGCAATATAAAAGCAAACTTACGTATTGTATATTTTTTTTATATTATTTCTTAATTGCATTTATAACAACGGTAATACGTAATGATCTGTAGGGTTTTTTGAATTGTTGTTTAAATAATATATTACTTTATCTGAAGTTGTAAAAATTGCCTATATTAAACCCCTTAAAAATGGTAAAGGCTTGTCCAGCCAGTTATTTTATGAAGCACCTTTACTATTTAAAACAGTCGAAAAGCTTGTTTAAAACTCAATCCTATAGAGTATAGGTTTTCATATATATGACCGTTCGAACTTCGAATGCCTCAATAGATCACGATTCACATTTCACAAATCTGTGTTCTTGTGTGATAGCAAAATATATGCACAGCAGACATTGTAAATAACTGTATTTTATGTTGATAATATAATAAAAATTGGATGCTGTGGTAGAAAGCCTCGTGTATAAGAATGTAATATTATTATTATGCATAATGTCGTGTCGCAAACATTTATTTGATGTGCACAGACCGTAAATAACGCATAACAATAATAATTATAATACATAATGGGTAATATTCATATTATAATTATGCAGCTGTATATTATATTAATGGGACGTTTGCATTACCGAATTAAATATACACAATTAACCATACACAAATGTTGCAGTGCAATAAATGGTCGTGGGCCATTTTTATCATTCTAAAAATATTTTATTGCAATTCATGTACGATGTGTTGATTTACAATTGAATGTGATAATATTATGTTTAAAAATCATATTTTAATAAAATATTTAATTTTGAAAAAAAAAAGTCACTCAAAATAATTAATAACTGTTCTTCCGGTTACATACACTTGCTCATTAGTCATTACTGTAGTAAAGTATATAATATAAATAAGTATTTAGTATACCTATTGTGTCTATAGGCTATACGTAATTTGTTACTTATACACACCTACAACGATGGAACGTTCTATGGCAGAAATAATAATTGCTGTGTACACAACTGATTAATAATTATTTATTGTATACAATTGGTTATTTAAGAAAGTAGATTTATGATTACGATTAACTGCATTTTTCATAATTAGGTAGGTATATATAATACTCTGTATTAAGTGGTGATTAAAATATTACCAATTACATAGGTAGGTACTTACATATATCGTATAGTATATTATATAGATTAACAGTGTGATACATGAGAATTAAGATTTAAAAAAAAACAGGTATTACAGCATACAAACTACATTTTTTTTTATTTCGTCACACTGAATTTTTTTTTAACGCGTTCCAGATGTTTTGCTCAACAAGTCGGGGCGGTGAACTTTTACTTGAAAATATATGATATTTTTTCAGATTTTATAACGAAATACCAAATATTAGTAGGGAGCCAATGATTGTGTAAAACATACAACAAATAGTGGACCGCCTTGGTTAACATGCGCTAGATGCGCATACCATAATATATACAGCTTCAGGTGTATTTGTTTGTCGAGTGAAAGTGTGAGCGCACTTCTCCCTAGGGGCATTATCGTGGGCGTTTCCGCGGCAGTTTGCGAAAAAAATTCAACGAGTTACGACATTTTTCGCTGTTTTGCCCTCGTAAAAATATCGTAAAATAACAAATTCAGCCAATGCATACCTATTATATTTTATCAATATGATATGCACAGTACACACATGCAGCTGTGTGTATGTTCGTCGTCGTCGGGTAACGACCACGCCCTTTGACTGCTTTACAAACCGCAGGACCGCAAACGTTGTCGTACTTTCCAATGTAATAGGTAATATCGTTATTAAAACCAATAATGGTTTTTCGTTATTATTACCCGTTTAACCTCTGCGGGTAGATAACAAGCATCTAAGGACAATCATAAATTCGAGGTGCTCGACCCGGAGTTAGAAGCCGCAATGAGGCGGAGTTAAACCGGGTCGTGGAGAAATTCATTGAGTCGTCACTCGTCATCAATAAATGAATATTGTAATATCAATGTCATAATTTATGATTATTGCATGCGCTCGAAAAACATATTAATTTTCTACGAAATATCATGCGATTATAATAGATATGAATGGCATTACATCAGATACGATAGTAATATGGATTTACAAATACGTAGGACGTAGGTGTCAGTTTTGTTATACCTAGCACGTTATCCAGAAATCGGGTTACCGGTTCATAGGTACACATTACGGCATGCCACCTGTTTGTGTATGTAATTTGTATTATTATTTATTATTATTATTATTATTGCAATAATGTACATGTACAATGATTAGCAAGTATTACAGCTGCTGCGGATGCCACCGCACTTCGACAATTTGGGTTAACGAGTAGATATTAATATTACAATATATTATTTGATAATGATTCCCGTCACTTTAATGATAATAAAATTGTATTATGCCTAAGTTACAACACATTACTATTCCCTGTGATGCGTGCAATCGTCCGGTAAACCGTTCGAACTTCGAATCGTTGGACCGAAATCGCTGCAGTTGGATTGACGACGTTTACACTGTACACGTATATTAATATTATGTAGAATATGATCGATCTCCATTGCTAATGTCGAAATTGTACCATTATCGTTGCCTCTTATTTGATTTATTGAGGTGTAACAGCAAGGGGAGGTTATGTGTAGAAAAATGTTTTGGTGGCCGGTGGGCAGCGCTTAGACGAAAATGCACATCCGTCTGACGCCTACGATCTCGATCATTTAAACAGACAATAATATATTATACTTAAGTATTTAATTAGAAGGATTGACTTCTATTAATAGAAGATAACTGCATCTCTCATGTTAAGTTCCCATTTAAGCGATAGCGAAATAGCAAGCAAACGAAGTAATAAGCATATATTTTCCTTTTTTTTTAAATGCAATATAAACAATTTAAATATACATTACCATCGTGTTGCCAACACGCCGAGTGGCCGTCAAAAACGACCAGTGGGATTACGCGGGCTAAAAAAAATGAGTAGCAACCCTGCATTATGGAAAGAAACACCAACACCAACGGTGAGGAGCATAGAATATGACGTTTCCAACGATCACGATCACCACGTACGAGATAGCTTTTCGGGTCACCACCACCAGTTGCACAATACAATACAATCTTAAACAAGATCAATTTTCTTCATTCAATGTGCAAAAACTCTATTACTCAACTTGAATAAAATATATTAGACATATTATTATATTATAATAATATAACACACATAATATGATGCATAAATCTTTCTGCTCGCGGTTTAAGTTCGGTTATTCCGTTATAAACATGACGGGTAATGATTGAATTAAAAATACTTACATTGCATTTCACACTAAAAATGTACGCCTGAACAACGTATTTGTAAACGAGTAAAACTTTTATTTTATTACATATAAAACCATCAATTTGTTGTTTTAATATTATGAAATGTATTTTTTGATTTTTTGTATAACTTTTGATTTTATCTGTTTTACAGATCAGTAGTCAAACATCACCGTCGGTAGCTGCCGCATCGACCATACAGTGGTATACAACATATTGAAAATACCTAAGATCAACCGAAATGACACCTTTACAGACAACGACGACATCGGTTCGACGGTGTTCCGTCTTGACTGCCACTCTACTGCTGTTGGTAGCGGTAGCCGCCAGTTTGCCATCCGGCGCCAGGTCATCCGCCATACGTCCTGCGTCGTCCGCTGCATCGACTGATGCTGCCGCTTCCCCGTTAGTACCGAGCAGTTGGCAAGGCGCTTCAGCCGTCCACGCTGACGTACCAGCTGAGGCCGCTGGAAGGGCCGTGGTCAGGAAAAAAAGGACGTTGCTCAAACTCAAGCCGCTCATCGTGTTGCCGGTCAAAGTCGCATTGGGCACCGGCGCCAAGCTGGTAGCCGGGGCCAAGTTCGGAGCCAAAGCTGTCGGATTGGGCTCAAAGGCATTGGGCGTCAGTCTCGTTGGATTGAAAGCCGTCCATAAGGTGGCGAAAGTGACGGTGAAGGCAGCCACCGCTTTGGGCGTAAAGGCGGTGCTGCTTAACTTTTTATTCCAGGTACAATAATATATCTATAATTCTCATGCTCATGCGTCAAATTATCGGCGTAGCTAGCTAGTGTATAGACAAAAATTAAATATCCAAAGCCCACTGTGACATTAATTGAAACCATAAATTATAATACAGCAATATATTTTAATTGCAAAGTTTTGTATAAGATTATTGGATATAGAACATAGATTTCCATATAAAAAATGCACGGTATTATTATATAATACTATTTCTCCTACCTATACAATTTTTAGCTGCACAATTCTTGTACAGACCCGGCCACATTATATCGTTTGCAATCGTCCCTTTGATATATTGTAATTAAAACTGATCGTATCTTTTTATTTGTTTATTATTACGCGTCTGCAGAAAATCAATCAGGTGATCGACTTTAAGACCCGCTTGCTGAGCAACCTTGACCAACGTAACCGACAGCAGAATGCACAATTCCTGTCACCAGTGTTGCCCCAATCATCTTCGTCTTCGAAATCGGGATCGATCGGAAACAAGGTAAGCTTAATTATTATTAAAATGTGTATATAAGAGATATAGCTATAATACACAAATGTATAATATTTTAATGCACATTATACATAGTGAGAAAGCACGAGAGTGGACATGAGTGGTATTGAAGTATTTTTTAGACTGCCAAAGTGGTATACAGCAGTATAATTTACAGTGGTAGAGAACGAAAAGGATGAAGAAGCGATTGATGTTGCGGTTGAGACTTTAATGCAGGGTCAAACCGATGTATAAATTATAATGTACAAATTGCGTAATGATTACCGTATGGCGTATACAATTTGGAAATCATTGTGAATAAAATGTTTTACAGCAGAGTCTGAGATGTGTGATACAGTGATAGTTAACGTTAAAGCGATGAGTAGTGTCGTAGTGATTCGATATATAAGTATTATATAGAAAGAGGAAAGTTTCTACCACTCATATATGTGATTTTGAAATTACTATAGTAAAATATATTTACAGTATATAGTTTATATATATATATATTAAATACCACTTTATGTACGGCACGCACTTCACAGTATTTTATACTCACATATAGTAAATATAATATACGTCATATACAGTGGATTTTCAATAATTTGAATGGAATAAATCAATTATATTCATATTTCAACGGAATAAATCATAAAAAAATTAATATGATTTAAATAAATAAAAATGTAATTTGAACACAAAATATTAAACAATATAATGCTGACGTAAAAAAACATGTAAAAACATGTAAGTCTGCCATTTTTTAAATTCGCAGATAAACGAAAAACAATATCATCCCAAATTAGGTTTATTTTATCTTATTTTACATAAAATAATTTAACCGTTTGAGTTTCTAACAGAATTATATTTTATTATTAAATTAAAATGTGTTATAAATTACAATATAATATGAGCCGAATTATCGTTAATCCACTGTATACGTATATAAAAAAACTTATAACCATGAGCACTTGTACAATTTACACTAACCTCTTATACACTTGTACACTATATTTTAACAATCACCATCGGCACCAACACCAACTACACCAATAATAACCCACCCACAACCATACTTCCCACCCCTCAGCATATCATTTATACGCTTGTAGAAGACAGGTACATATCACCTATAATTATTATAATATATACATGTACATATCATATAAATTTAATACGACTGATGTGTAATGACTGTGAAATTTATTTTACTATCATAAAAATACTATAGACATATAGCCTATCCATATATAAATACAATAGCTACAAAATGTATCATATTATACGATGACGATTTAATTCAAAATATTATGTAACTTGATCATATGCGTTTGTGACAATGGTAATGATAGTTACTGAAATACTACAATATATCATATTCTCATATTCATATACCTATTTATATATATATAAATAAATAATTTATAACTCCAATATCCATAACATACGATGACGATGACGACGACGGTAAGTGATGATGACGAAAGTTGTATTAATTAATAATGTGAATTTTATAAATCGTATATACGTATATGAATATACGATTATACCTGCAGGATGATGACGAGAAGAAAATTGTAACACAAAAAACAACCACAAAAACCGACAAAAAACAACAATACAACACGGCGGCGACAGTTAAAATATATTCTATATATTATTATAAACTAAAAATTAAAATACAAAATAGCTTCGACGGGACGGCTAAGACGAAGATTATAAACACTACTGTCTTACGTTTTACTGAACAAATCACAATAATATTATTATAGACTTCTATACTTTATGCGGTCTTACAATATGATATAATACATTATACGAGTACGTGATTTCATAATCGGATCTGCAGTGGCGGCGCCAGGGGTGGGCCAGGGTGGGCCCGGGCCCACCTTAAAAAGTCCCAGGCCCCCCCTGTGGCCCACCCCAAAAATTAAATTTTATCATATTAGAATACTAAAACATATCTCATGAATAAACCATGATTTATTAAAATATGAAAATATTAAGTCATAATAGATGAACAACATTTTGAATGAGTTGACAACTATGCTCTATACATGCTTTCAAGCCTCATAAATAACGTGTATTTTCCAGAGGCTGAATACGAAAATAATAAATTATTATTAAATATTCGTTGGTATTGAGTGTAATTATGGGTTAGGGAGTATACAAATTAAAAAGTGTTTACATGAATATATATTTTGTTAGGAAATAAATACTATTAATACAATACATGTTTACAAATCATTGTTTTAGTAAGTTTACACGATGAAGTGTAAAAAAAATTGGAAGTTGACCCTCCCCCTTACCCCTCTGCGCAATTGCCTGTCATCATTATTGTTTATGTATATATATCAAGTCAACAATTTGGCCCTCCCTAAAAAATTTGGGCCCCAGCCTGGCCCACCTGGTATTAAAGTTCTGGCGCCGCCACTGCGGATCTGGCCAGTAATTGATTCTCGATGGACAAAATTTACGAAACAACACGTTTTTATAAATCAGCTAATGCATTCGAAATAAAGTATTACAAATAATAAACAAGCACCTAAACATAAATGTAAAATATGTATAAAACTCGTTTTCAAAATGTCAGTTTTGCTGTTGACAATGTAGTAGGTACGTTGTACATTTCAGTTATATAACCAACATTAAATTAATTTTTGAATTCGTTTGCAGCTGGGATAATTGTAGGAAACACGAACCTATAGGTACGTTATAGTGTTATAAATATTTCGAGAAATCTACTTTATTTATTGCTGTATTATTTATAACTGAAATACGACATAAAATTACAATTATAACGACGACGACTTTTTAAATGCACGTCCGTACAGCGGTATGTGCCGTGTGTGTCTACGTATGTGTGTGTTCACGCGTGCGGGTAGGCATGTCAGAGAGTGTGTTTATTTGTGTGTGTGTTTGTGTGTGTTGCAAAAGGCGTACGATATAATATTGTTTTGTGTACGTTAGTTGTAATAATAATAATATTATATTTAATTCAGTGCTCGGGAATTTGGAAAAATATGTAGGTTACCTAGTGAATGATCCTTGTGGTTAACATTGGTGTATATCTCTTCTAATGATTGCTCATAATATTCAATATAATATCTGTGTCTGGAGGAGACAAGAGTTGCCATACATTGAAAACATCACGTTCACATTTTAATCGTATTTAATAATATCAGTACTTAAGCTGTAGTATTCACATGCAGACTATAGTATATAGAATTACCTATACGGCAATAGAGTTAGATAAACGCAGTCAATTATTAATTATACTATAATTCCTGTCCCCATTGATTATTACCTATATAATTATACGATTATTATGTATATACTAGCCAACACAATTACTTTTATTTTCCTTTATCCCCTTACGGTATAATCGATATCGAAAGTAATTCCAATTGTCTTCTACAGTTATTTTATTATCTCACGTTTTAAATACTAAACATTTGAATACAATATATACCAAATCGAAATGCGTGGATAAATAGAATAACATTAATGTGTGCAAAATGACTACAGTAGTTTGGTTCACATGCCGCTGTAACCGCACAACCGATTAACCGAATTCGGGCACTGAATTTATATTAATACTATATTATTATATAATAAAATATAATATACTATGAATAACATCGAACGACGAATGTGCGTGTGTGTGTGTGCGTGTGTGTGTGTTTAGGACAACGCCACATTCAACGTCGTCGGTGCTGCAGCTTTTGTCCCCGCACCGGACTTCGTGGCTGCCCCTGATGCCCCGGGTTTCGTCACGAATGCGCCATCAACAGCACCAGCATTCGTACCCGGATCAGACCTGATCGCTTCGCCACCACCACCATCACAACCGGACTTTGACGGACCACCATCGGACTTTGTTGGAACTCCAACAAATTTTGATAGCGCTTCATCAAACTTTGGCGGGGGGCCTTCTGGATTTCCCGCCTTCCAGCCGAGCTTTGCCTCCGAACCGTCGGGCTTTGCCGCGACAAACGACGATGGATCACCATCGTCAGAGACGTCGTTCTAAAAATATGCGTCCTCTCGTCATCGTCATACCGTCGTCTCCTCGATCGCATCGACACTTGCCAGCCACACCGCCATAATAATATATGCCATAATCGTCATTTATATATATTATCCATCATCATATTATCATAATCATACATATATACATATAATATATAAGTATAGTCATAACCATATATTATAGTCATAAATAGTAATATAAGTTGTTGGAGAGTACCCATAGGTGGTAGGACTCATAGGCGCAATTAAGAGAGACTTGGGAGTTGTGGCTGATAGCTCCTTCATAATTTATGCCATTAGTAGACCAACTAAAATAATAAGGGGCTTCAGCATCCCTAGTTTTTCATTGAAATGCGCCACTGGTATAGGTAGTACATAACGGTCGAGTACCTAGTAAATATTTCATTAACTCATACATCGAGTCAGAGTTACCGCAGCCGTTCGACTGTATATAAAACTACATTTTGGACGTAGGTTAAATTTCATTTACATTCTAACATTCTGAGTAATCATTTAAACGATGATTATCTGAATAAAAAGGAAAACGAAGATTCGTTTGATTTTTGCAACCTTGGTCAATTATATAACTTGAATCAATTATTTCAATTTATGGATAAAATTGTTAATATCAAGTATAATAGCTATCACTATATGTGTAGCGAAAATGTCATGTGACATTAAAACGAGTATACTCTTACGTGTTATTATGTAACCATTTTAAATTAAATTATTGTTTAAGTATTTTTTTTTTATAGTTTTATTATAAATAAATTATATGATAATACAGCCACTTAAGTTCGTGTGTAACGGATAATCAAAATTTCGTTTTATATAACATTATGTAATATTTAGGTATATATACTGTATATATTACTATATGAACACAAATCTAAAATACACGTAAGTAAATTTAACGTTTAACATAATCACACGTTTTATAAATTATAATAAAAGAGCATGCAGTAACACTTGCCTAATGAATAATAATTTGCGTATATAGTTACACGGGACTACGTGAGCATCTTATAATATTCGTGTGTTATATATATATAAATTATATTATTATACACCACGGAGGTTCGGTGATTATTACTATTCACTTTCATATACGTTAATAATTAATTCGTTGTAATTATTTTTGTTGCAACATCCAATAATCTAGTGTACAATCACTCGTCTCTTCTTCGTCGTCTCCGTTTTCATAATTTTCATGAATTAACCACGCGTGTTGTTCGCAGGATTTTTAAGTCCTTTCATCACACTAATAACCATTATCATTATCATATTATTAAACCGCATTATCGTTAGCATGGTTTTTTATTTTCATCGTCATCTTACATCGTTATTGTCAGTCAACGACCATTTCGCCAACCAATCATCGTCATATTATATGTATCTAGTATCATTAATTCATCATAAATGAGTGTCATATAAACTAATTATTATTATATTACATATTAGTTGGTCACATAGTCTTACTTAGGTTAATTAAGTTATATAAGTTTTAGTAATTTAGTTAATATATTTTTTTTTTTTTTTTATTTAATTCTTCAAGAAGATAATAGGCCCCACTGAACATTTTCGTGTGCGGGCCCGCAATTAGTCTTAGTAGTCAGAAGGTAATTGTTGTCTCTTGTCTGTTGATATATTATTTATTACTATAGCCGTCGTGAGATTATTTTTCTCAAAAGTACCCAGGAGGTACTAAAACTCGTTCGATATATTTATCTAATATATGAGTAGCAATAAGTAATTGGGCCACCGGTTATTACACAATAATATATTATAACCGATGAAACGACAATGAATGAGTTTCGGCACTGTATTCCATCCTCTCACTTAATTAATACCTACAATGCTAGTACTTATAATTACAATATTATTCTCAGTGTACATTTTTATCGGTCATTTATATTTTAAGTGTGGCTTGAATGTATAAATACTTATCAACGGTCTAGAACTCTAATTTAATTTCTAAAATCATTAATTTATCTTGTTTTTATCTTTTAAATATTATACACAATATACCCATAGAATTTATTTTGTCTATAATTTCAAACATTCTACAAGTTTTTCAGAACCTGGCAATAAAATAAATCAAAAATATTTAAATCTCAATATTGAAATATTATAATAATAATATAATATTATAGATTATTGTATGTACCTAGGTACTAGGTTTAAAAGGTACATAGTTGTAAGCCTAAAAGTCATATAGGGTGGGTGTTTAAGGAATAATTACTAATAGTTAATAAAAATATTTGAAAAAACATAGGTTGTCTTTACTATTTTATACCCAATTATATTTATTAACAGGCGTACTACACTTCTATACGTCTATATTTTAGTAGACGTATATTATTTTAGATGATTATTTTAACATTAACTACTCTGTTCTATAGACGATAGTTCTATAGACATATATTATACTCGATACCCTAGTACACGATAATGTCGAGTATAACAATTTCAAACAATTTCTAACACATACGTTCTTTACCTAATTGTTATCAATATTCATTCGGTACCTACTTTACATCTAATACATTTTGATTGTCAATCCTCCAATTATATTTCATATTTAGATATATTAGAATCGAAGACTAAATAATATATATTATTATTAAAATGTATCATTACTTATACAGTTCACCCTTGTTTAATCTATCTGTATGAAATATGCGTATAAGGTATAAAGTTACCCCATTGTAACATTTAAGTGATATAATTTAATATTATAGTTGATTATTCAAAATTACATTATTTTACTGTATTTGTGTGTATACAGATATCCCTCGTTATCCGAGGATGTTATTTTCTAGCAAAGTTGCGTGGATAACAAAACCACGGATAACGAGGGATTACTGTACTTATGTATTATTATATTTGTGGTGATATTCATATATTCATATTGTAATATTAATTAATGTATTTTAATAAATAAAAATAAATATACGACCATTTAAAATTATATAATTTTTATTATTATTATCATCTTCATGAAGTAGTTAACTTGATACGAATTGTTCTGATGCTCACACAATGTCCTATAACATTGTGTCAACAATCATCATCCGTCGTTTTCCATGTCAAATGCCAAACATAGATAGAAATAATATTTCAGCTGACTACACGAGTCGCGTTGCAGACTTGCAGTTATCGTATAATATGATATTAACCTTCTGCTCGGTTCGTGATAACGATTACAGATTGCTTATATCAGCCCACAACATATACAATACTAAATTGTTGAGTTAAGTGATTATACAAAATTCTAAAGAGATCGGTAGGTGGTGCCATGGTTTTGTAAAAAAAAAATTAACGAAATATGGAAAATAGAAAATAAACGTATAGCACTGTAGTATCGTCGGATCATACAGATAACTGTTTAAGAATTTAAATTACTTATGCCAGTTTGCATAAAAAGTTTATTAAATTAATGGGCCAATTGTGGCCCATTTACTCACTATTGATTCGGAAAATATTTAGTGATTGTTCATGTGATATTAGTCTCTAACATATAATGCTGAGAAATATTTTCTCTCAATATTAATATATTTTAAAATTTTAAATCATAAAAAACTAAGCTCTACAAGACAATTTTAGTTTAAACACATATTAAAAAAAAATTAAAATAATTTTTTGATTTCAATTGTAACATAACTGTGGGATGATATTGGTCGCAGACCTTTGTGATTTAAGTCGCAGATCTTCAGTTTTCCATATCTCGTTGATAATTTTTAATTTTTTATATTGTCATAATATAAGGTATTATACATATTTTTTATTATTTCATTATTATTATTAATATTAATATTGTATAAACATTAAACTATTATTAAAAGAAATATTTTGAAAATCGTATTATTTATAATTTTTAAACATGTGGGACATTGCATTGCAGGAAGACGACGACTTTCTGGCATCGGTACCGGGCACCGGCGATCAACAAGTTTTGGCCCAAGAACAGACCAAATCTTCAGCCGCGGCACCGGAGGTGGCGCCGCTGGAAGACGATAGTGAGGTGACATTCGATGCCAACAAAGTTACTCTTCAGGTTCCGGACAGGCTTTTCGGTCCCAGTTTCACGGCTGTCAATGGCATATCACAAGCCATCGGCAACGTCATACAGGTACAGTAACTATAGTAACTATATTATACACATCGTACACTATGCAGAGATTATATTATTTCGGAAAGTTGGTTATCTACACGTGTTTAAACTTAACATGTATATATTATTTGAACTTTTAAGATTCATTAGTCAATTTAATTTGAGTTGAGTTAAATACAAATATATATTAACCAGGTAAAAATTCAAAAATTAATATTTAAAAAAAATCTTCAACGTATTAAACAAAAATGTATTATATTACGCAATACCGATTTCAATGATACCATTTCCTTGGTGCAAGACCACCTGGCACCTCTTCTTTAAATTTAACATTAATTGTAGTTTTGAGAATAATAAATTTAAAATTTAAAATTTGAACCAATAAGTACACATAGGTATTTGTATTTTAAAGTGGTGTATATATTGATATTAATATCTTCTTTAATCAGTAGAATTTAGATTTATGGCGGTTTTTAATGATATTTTATCACACAATACTGCCACATTTCTGGTTGTACCTACTCGAAGAGCCATTACATGTTTTCAATGCAATTTAGGTCTATATTAGTTGTAACTTGTAAGTACCTAATTATTGTATAGGTACACATGTGCGTAGAAAAATAATATTTAGTTTATAACTTATAACTGATTAAGTGAGTAATATTTATACATATGGAAGTATATTTAGGTACTATACCTCAATGTGTACTGCCTTAGTGCAATAATAACTTACTGAAACGGCACAATGTCAGCATAGCATGATTGAACATAACTTTCAATAAACAGAATAATATATAGGTACCATCCAAACAGTTTAATCTTATACAATTTCATAAAAATTACTTAAACAGCTGACAAAAGTGTAGGCAATTCCTGTGGTTTGATTTTTTTTTAAAAAGTAAAGATGTCTGAAGAAACAAACAAGCTTATTTGGCCAAAGCACTTTTTCATATTGAAAATTATTATTTAACTATTAACTATTACAAGTTTACATATTTTTAAATTTCAAAAGTTTATTACCTACCAAAAACAACTAGGTAGCTAAAATTAGAAAATATCTCAACCTATTTAAATTGCAGAGTTAACGTGTTTATGGATTCGAAAATGTGTGGCCAAGTTTTGTGGTAGAAAACATTATCCACATACTAATGAATAATAATTATCTCCTAGGCCACTAGGGATATACCTACTAAATAATAATAAACCATGTCCGTATGGAATGAAATAATTTCCTATACTTACATGGATCGTTAAAAATGACACTTTTGTCACACATGACAAATGCCACAAGTCCACACATAACATGTTGTCTTCGTCTTATAATCATACCAAATTTATGTTCAGCAGAAAATTCATAGTAGGTTTTGCTGAACAAAAATTTGTTGTTGTAAATTTGTAAGGCTCGGGCCACACGATGCGTTTTTTCCGCGTTGGAAAATATGAATGCGGAAATTCCGCAACAACAGTGTTCGACCAGACGATGCGGAATTTCCGGATGTGAAATCAAAAATGTATTTATTTATATAATATAAATAGTACATTTAATTGATTTAAATTCCAAAAATACTAAATACTAATATTATACGCTATCATGACCAGTTGATATAGCACCAGTCAAAGTTCTGCTTACGACAAGTACGGTCAATTTTTTTCACTATGAGTGCTCTTTTAAATATTATTTGCGCTGCGGAAGCATCCGGTGAACTAGACGAACCTACTTCACCGACTATCTCAAGACAGTTTTGGGTACATCCACTGAACCAAAAAAGAGAAAAGGAGGATTTGTTTGAAAACTTTTACAGCTCAATTCGAACATTTCCTCAAAAGTTTTTTGAATATTACCGAATGTCGATAACATCTTTTGATGAGTTATTGGAAACAATTCGTCCTCATTTAACAAAGCAGCAAACCAATATGAGGAATCCAATATGCGTTGAGCAAAGACTTACAATTACTTTAAGGTAAGAAATTATTTTTTTTTAACTATCGTAGATAATAATATGTAGGTAGGTACCTACTATGTACCTACCTCATATTATACATATCTAATATATTAGTAATAGGTAATTTATAAACACTCAGTAAATAATTAAAAGTAGGTAGTAATTTATTTGAAAAAAAAACTGAAAACTAGAAACAATATAATAAATTATAACAAATTATCTTTCCTTTATTAGTAATAGTATAAAAAAAAAATAAAACCCTGATGTATCTTTATAATAATATGTTGTTTATGGTGAAATAAAATAAACTGAAATGTGTATAAACAATATTTTTAATTTATTTATTTGAGGAGGTTTCAGGAGGGAAATTTGAAGATATATTAGTAAGTGAAAATGTGGCATTTGATTCATTTGATGTAACTTCTTGTTGATATTGTGAGAATCGAGGTTGAGGTGTGGGTGAATACACTACTTGTTGAGGATTTGGTGGTAAAACCTTATGAGAGATATTGGGATAATATGGATTGGTGATTTCAGGTTGTCTATGCGGAGGAAAATAAAAAGATGAGGAATCTTGGTATGAATTATCGTTCTGATACACATTTGCAGGTTGATACGTTGAAGAAGATGAACAAATATTATGAGATTGCTGTACATGTTTAAAAAAATTTAGTACATAAATACGAAAATCTAATTTCTGTGAATCGTTAAGATTTTTGTAGTCTGGTAATAATGACAATAAAAAATGTTTATCAGGATCATTTCACTCTGTTTCCTCTAAATATGTTAATAATTTATTTTGGAATGGAGTAATCACGGTTTCTTTTGTACTTTTTTTAAATTTTTTTGAGTGTACTTGAGAAGTGGAGGTAGAGGCTATTGCATTCTGCTCAGTTTCACCAGTCGTGTTAATTTCTTCAAACGTTTGTTCACCTTGAACACTTTCGTCGAGGTTATCTTCAAAATTTCCAGATGTACTAAACAAAAAAATAAAATAATGTATTACCTACATAATTATAAAAAAGATGTAGATAAATATGATATTGTATTTTTTTAAGTATCTATGTATCTATGGATGTGTACTAATATTTATAAAATAATTATAAAATGTAAAATCTGTCCACTTTTACTAGGTAAACAAAAAGGAAACTATAATAGAAAATTATATATAAATTAAATCACCAATGCATCCATGGGTTTCTCAGTGTAAAAATTAAAAACTATATAGAATAATACTTATTAAAAATAATAATGTAGATTGTAGTTATGAAAAATATGAAAAAAAAAATTACTTTCTTTTTTCAGCAACTGGTTTTAAAAATGATAAAATATCAGCGTAATGGTACTTCTTCTTTTTTGACGCACCGGAACCAGATGGAGTTGAATTCTCTTCTTTGTTCCACTTTATATAATAGTCACGGACATTTCTCCATTTTTTTTCTTTTAAATCTTTAGCTTAAATAAGAATATTAAAATAATGTGTTTACTAAATTAAACAAAAAAAATATTTATATTATAACATAATATAAATATAATAATATGATGTAATAATATAAATATTATATATTTTTATATATTTCGGCTACAATATGAACAGTACACAAATATATCACATATTATTTGGTATGGTAATTATTAAGTATAAAGTATAAAAAGGTGGGAAAGTGGGTATCGCTCTGCTGTACAGTAGGTTGCAAGTGGGTCATTGTAATGGATAGTATTAAATTTGAATTCAATGATATAATATCATTGTATACGAAAAACGATTCTGAGCGAAGACAGTCAGTCCTGCACCTATGATATTAGTAAGTAAATTTGATGATATTATTGAGAATAAAGTAATTTATTTACCTATCTACGTGGAACCTTGTTTTGAATTTTCAATCCTTTGCTATAAAAGTTGAACATATTATAAAATTATAACTACAAAATAATTTTAAAATTTAAAATTTGATACATTTTGTCACAATTCGAAATTAAATGCTTCTAAAAAAAATTGTGACTTTTATTTTTAAATATTTTTCAACTGCTATAGTAATATTATATCAGGAGCCATGTATAACATTTTCACGCATTTTGACCCTACAAATACAATTTTATTGATTATCATAGAAAAAAAACTAAAAAAATTTAAAATTTAAATTATTTGATTATTTATTTGATAAAAATTGTGACTGTACTCTCAATATTTTTCAAATGCCATCGTAACAATCTATTAGGAGCTATATCCTTATACTTATTAAATTTTCAAGCTATTTGACCCAACAAATTTTATCGATATTTTTTTTTTATGAATATCAATAAAAATTTATTTGTTGAGTAAAAATACTTGAAAATTTAATACAAGGCTCCTACTATATTGTTTCAAAGACAGATGAAAAATATTAAAAATCGTTAGTCAAGTCACAGTTTTTTTTTTTAAGCATTTAAAGTTCAAAAAATGACAAAATATGGAAAAATCACGAAAATTTGCAAATTATTTCGAGTTAGAAATTCATAAAAATTTTTCTTTTTAAATCTAAGATATGAAAATGTAATACAAGATTTCTTATAAGATTTCCTACATTTATCAATAAAAAAACTTCTATAAGAAAGTCAAATTAAATTTTTATGATCGTTTGAAATTCAAATTTTTACAACATTGGATATTCACTCGATTTCTCATGTGGGGATTTCCTTATTTTGTTGTAATTCAAAAACGAATTACTGTAGATACATGAAAATTTCACAGGATGTTTATATTAGCATTTCCTATACACCATACAATTTTGAAAATATTTTGACTCTTTTTGAGCCTTTTACGGACATTTTCAATTTTCAATTTTTTTAGTTTTTTTTTCTATAAATATCAATAAAGTTTTATCTGTTGGGCCAAAAAGTGTAAAAAATTAATACAAGGCTCCTGATATATTGTTACAATAGCAATTGAAAAATATTAAAAATACATAGGCACATTTTTTTTTATAAGCATTTACAGATCGCATTTTGACAAAATTTATCAAAATCTCGAAAATTATCAATCATCGTAATTAATAAATTATAAAATGTTCAGTTTTTATAGCTAAGGATTGAAAATTTTAAAAA